CCAAAACTGACCAAGGCATTCAAAGAAAGATTTAAAAAAACACAGCACCAGCTATACAGAACTCTGCTGAAGCTGGATTCTGTCTGTGAGACCCCATACTTTGACCGTGGCCTCAAACAGAACTGAAGAAGAAGAAGAAGAAAAAAAAAAAAAAAAAGGTATGGCTCTGACCTTCTGTTTCTTACTGTAGGGGTTTCTAAGGAATGCCTTCTCCCCACCCAATGTGGCAGACCCAGTGATTTAAAACACATGCAGAATTGAATCAGTTCCCGTAGTCAGAACAAAGCAATGCACAATTCCTTTTCCAAATATTTGTTTGCTGCCCCATAGCTACGAGTTGACAGTTGTTAGACATGGACCAGGTTACCAAGTGAGTCTGCAGAAATCTCCTTCTCTGGAAATTCTTTAGAAGAGCAATGTGCTTTCTGTCCAGCTAGGGAAATTCCCTTGATGCCAAACTGTTGGGGTGAGTTTACTAGACTGCTTTCTTCTTCCATTAATAAGGGTATAAAAGAGTCCTCAGATCAGTATGTTAACCTGGGGGCTTTCTGGGTAGTGTGACCATGACATCCATCATTCTGGGGAAGGGTGGGATTGGGATATTGGGGTGATCCTGCTCATGGAGAACCATGATGATAAGACGTGTCTATATAGAGCTGAGACTTTAATAGTGTTTACCTAACCAAACCAGGTTTAAATTGTTCTAGTTTCTTCTAACAGATTTCTGTTTTAGAGCTGGAGACACTGAATTCTTGTGACTGAAAAGACTTGATTAGAATGTAGAACTCTGTATATCTTCAGAGGGATTTATAAAGTGTATTGAAGAGTGTTTTCCTTGCTCTTACTTGAAGGGCCTACTGTAATTTCAGGAAGATTTGAGACTATCCAATATTTTCAATAGCATTTGCCTTTGCCTGTCATTTTTATATATGATTACATGACACAGAGAACTTGCTGTGCTTTGTACATAAAAAAGATTCGATAAATACAATTAATAAGGCATCGATTGCTTTCTATTTACTGTTGGTTCCAAAACACTTTCAGCCAGTTGAATTGTTTGAGCCTCACCCGGGAACTACCTTCTAATCAGGTAACTGAGGTTCAGAAAGGTGTTCATATTGATCCAGAGTGGAGGGGTATGGATATTTTGGGGTTAACTTTTGTAGGTTTTAAACATTTATTATATTTTAAGTTAATGGGAGAGATTAATGATGATGGTCACTTGTGTTTTTTCATAAAAGGAAATCAGAAACAAAAGTAGAAAAATGGAATTAATCAGTAAATGTTTTTACAACTCTAAAAATTACTTAGTGAAAAATCTACTGTCTTTAACTGCCGTGTTAGAAATTACTAAGTTTATTAAGTTTAATTTATATTTTTTACTTTATTAATATACCCTGGAACTCTTTTCCATTCCTCTTTCATCATTCAACTTTTCAAAAATATATTTTTACACACCATTTGTTATATGTGTAAGATTATGTTGTATACCATAACATGTTAAGGTATAATTTACATACTGTAAAATCTTTTCATTTTAAAAGTGAATATAGTGATTTTATTAAATTTATGTAATTTAATTTATATAGGCCTGCAGTCATCACCATAATACAATTTTAGAGTACTTAATGCCTTTTTTTTTTTAAGATTTGTTTATTTATTCATACAGAACTGGGGTACAGACCAGAGATGCGGAGGGCGAGAGAATTCACCAGGGACAGAGGAGGGGAGCAAAACAGGCAGATATACGAAGTACACTGCTGAGGGGAGCAGCGGGCGGGTCAGGAGAGGTCTGCCGCGCCATGTGGTCACCTCCGGGGCAGGCGGGGATGGAACTCATGCGGAGGTGGCTTTAGCTTCTCAGTGCTGTGCTTTAACCCACTGCGCCACCAGGGAGGGCCGCTTATTGCCTTTTTAATAGTCAGTTCCTAACCAAAATCATAGTTAACTATTAACTGCTTTCTGTTCTATAGATAATCTCTGACTGAACTCTTATAACTTAGACTCTTTTGTGTCTGGCTTCTTCTACTTAACTAACATGTTTTGGGTTCATCCATATTGTAAATATCAGTAGTTTGTGCCCTTTTTTGCTGAGTACTATTCCATTTTGTGGATATACCACACTTTGTTTAACCATTTGGCTAAACCAAGATGGTTATCTGATTTGTTTTCAGTTCGGAGGTACTCTGAACAATGCTTGTGAGAATGCTCACACACAAGCCTTTGTTTTCATGTTGTAAGGTAGACACCTAGAGTGATATTGCTGGGAGTGTGGTAACTTATTTTTTAAAAAATCCCAACCATTTTCTTGTCCCCTAAGTGGCTGCACTTTACACTTCCATCAACAATATATGAGAGATCAGCTCTTTATCCACAATTTTCTTACAGTATTCTCATCCTTTGTTGGTTGTGTCGAGTAGTATTTCATTATAATATTAATTTGTATTTCCTTAATGACTCATGAGTTAACATTTTTTTCAGATACTAACTCATTACTTATGTTGTCTTTAGTGAAGGCTATATTCAGATCTTTTAACCATTTTATAATTGGATTTTTCTGTTATTGAGTTATCTTTGTGTATCTGATATACAAATCTGTTGTCAAACGTATGATTGCAAATATTTTCTCCTATTCTGTAGCTTATATTTTAATTTTTTTTGAAAAGGAAAATTTAAAAATTTTGATAAAGCTAACTTTATCAAATTTTTCTTTTATTGGGCCCTCTCTGGTGGCACAATGGGTTGGAGCACAGCACTGCCAGGTAGCCACAGGTGCTTCCGTGTGAGTTCGATCCCAGCCCTGGAGGTGCTACACATGACGCAGCAGACCTCTTCTGTCTCCCCTGCTGCTCCCCTCAGCAGTGTACTTCATTGATTTGCCTGTTCTGCTCCCCACTATGTCTCTGGTGAATCTTCTCACTGCCCCTCCACCTCTGTTCTGGACGCCAGTTCTGTATGCATAAATAAAAAAATAAATAGATCTTTAAAAATTTATTTTTCTTTTATCAATTTCACTTTTTTAAGAAATCTTGGTTGAGTCTCTAGCCACAAAGATTTTCTCCTGTGTTTTCTTCTTTAAAATGTATAGTTTTCCTTTTGCTTATGGATGTGATATATTTTTATTTAATTTTTGTTTATTGAGTGAGGTAAAGTGTAGGGTTCTTTTTTTTTTTTTTTTTCCATACAGGCATTGTTATTCTAGCACCCATGACATACTGTACTTTCCTGAATTGTTTTGGCATCTTTATAAAGAACCAGTTCCTTAGGTGTTTGGGTTTACTTACTGCCTTTCTAACCTGTTCCATTCATCTGTACATTCATCCCTTTGCCAGTGTGATACTGACTTAGTAATGTTCACTTGCTCCTAAATCTTCAGCTTTTTTTTTTTCTTTCTTTCAAAAGTGCCTACACTCATGTATATCCTTTACATTCTCAATATATGTTAGGAGAATTTTGTCATTTTCTAAAAAAATTCTTAGGACTTTCTATAGAATATGAGATTAATTTGAGGAGATTGCCTTCTTAATCACGTCCAACTTTGTGATGTAATTCTCCAATTTTTTTTTTGTAGCAATACTTTATTGTTTTCAGGTATTTGATAATTACATTAAAAGCAAGTTAAAACC